TTAGCTGCCCAGCCAAGTTAGTATTGCCACTAATGCAAGGTACCAGGCTGTATTACATAGTGGACTTACTCACACCTATCAATCTCATATTCTTCATACTTAGGTTTTTCACTAGATCAGGCATTAACTGGCTTAATTGTCGAAATCTGTACTACTTTACCAAACTTGAGATTTCTACCATGCAGGTCTTCTGCCTGTAGATCCTATCAAGATTTATTCATATAATATAACTCGAGCATTGCATCACACTTCCAATGTCTAATTGACATTGGTGCAATGTGATTTATAGGGTTGTAACTCCTAGAAATGAGCAGAGTTTACCGTAAGTTAGGTACAAAGGTCTGTGTAATTATTCAAATTCGTCAACAGTAGGATTTGAACTCAGACCTCTTGCATAGTAGTCTGACAACTTAACCACTATACTAAGATCGCTAGACCTCTTTGTTTATAGATTTTATTAAGATTTATTTATATAATCTTATATCATATTTCTAATATTTAATTAACTTAATACAACTTGATATATAAAGTCATAACTCTAAAAATAGATAGATTTACTGAAAGTTAAGGTCTAGTAATCTTAGTATAGTAGTTAGATTGCTAGACTGCCATATAAGAGATCTGAAGTTTAAATCCTACTGTCAATGAATTTGAATAATTATTCTAACTTTGTATGCAACTTATAGTAAACTTTGTTTGTTTTTGGAGTTGTAACCCTGTAAATCATATTGCATTAATATCATTCAGATATTGGAAGTGTGATGAGGTATTTAGAGAGATATAATATTATATAAATAAATCTTAATAGGATCTATGAGCAGAGGACCTGTATAGTAGAAATTCTGAGTTAGTAAAGTAATATAGCTTTTAATGATCATACTAGCTAACATTTGATCTGAAAAAGAAACTGTTACTCTGAAAATGTAGATTGAGTAAGGTATGAGTAAGTTTGTTCTACAAGAAGAATTGGCAATACTAACCTGGCTTGGTAGCTAACTAAATTAGAAGGATCTACTTTGTGAAATATTTAAAGAGATTAGTAAACTAAAAACTAGTAGAGAGCTATAGTAGAAACTAGAATTGTATGAACATCTACAAAAGTTTAAACTAGATAAATTTGTAAAATAGATATAGATTACTCTAGTAAATATGCTTTAAGGTTAACTAAAGCTCTGCAAGCTCACAATATATTGAGCAATATGTATCCTGAGAGGACCTAAGCAAAAGTCAGTAAATAGATCTGTAATGAGCTAGCTAGCTTAAGTAGTTAAGTATTATAGTGATATTAGTTTGTAATAGTATGAGTTAGTTAAACAGAGTGTTTAAATAAGTAACTCATAGGTAGGTTGCAGATATGGCAGTATAGTATAGAACTAATCAGGTAGTCTATCATCTATACAGCAAACTACTTAAGTTAGATAATGCTAAAGTTATACATATAGCTTATTATACACTCTTTATGTAATTACAAACTGTAAGGAGATCCTATATAGAACCTCATATATCAAACTAATAAAATCTGCTCAGCAATATAAGCTACCTTAAAATAAAATAAAAAAAAAAAAAAAAAAAATGAATTTAAAAAATATAGTCTAGAAAAGTGCATAAAAATCAGGATTTTTTTAGTACTCTGAATTATTTAAGAAATTTTTAAGCTATATAATCTATTTTAAAAGATTAATTAGATAGATAGTAATAATTTTAATAACCTTTTAAAAAATTTATATATATAATAACTAGTCTATCTAATCTAATACTAATTAGTTCTATTTGGTTCTAAACTACAGTCTAGTTCAGTTTAGCCTAAAAACTAGTAGTCATTGAACCAGATTAGACCAAATAAACCAATTAATAGCCTTATTTAGAATATTTAGAAGTTATATAATAAAGCTTATTAACTGAAAATCAACTATATTTTGATATTTTATTACCTAAATTAATTTTGTCAGAAGTTTCAAATATTTGCAGTTTTATTATTTATCAAAGTTTTGTCAAATGAAACTATTAGTAAAACTATTTTATCATAGCTAAAATATTTTTATCAGGCATTATTAATGCTAATATATAATATTATATATTATAATTAGCTATTGCTATTTTAAGAGGCAAATTTAGAACTACTAGGTCTCTTATAGTTAAAATATAATATAATACAAAAATATAAGCAACTCAAAAGAAAAGTATAAAAGATTTGGTCTGAGAACTAAGAATCTTACTGCTACTAGGATCCTAGTTTTAAGATGTGTTCTTATTAATATTTAATAATTGATAATTTCTCTACTTCACTATAGAAATTATAAGACTTTTATACAAAAAAAATATAGCAAAAGCTTTAATACAGCTTAACTAAATTAAGTATTAGAAGGGAATCTACAAGTTACAATAATTTATTTATATAACTATAACATAAAGCTATTATTCAATGAGCTTTGCCTTGAACTAAACCCAATATAGTATTTTATTCAAATGCTACTTTTATATGTAGGATCCTGTAGCTTAGCTTTAGTTTAGAACCTTGGTTTAAGAGGCTTTAGTTCAAGATCTTGGTTTAGATCATGATCATATTACTTATATATCTATAGCTAGATTTTATTTTGTCTCTTATAATTCCTATAGCCTTATTTTATATATTTTGTATAAAAATTATAATAAAAAAGAACTTCACAGAACAGAACCAAAACAAGACCAAAACAGGATACTTTATTCTTAGCTAGAGAAGAAGAAAAGCTTCAACTTAGAACTTAAGTCTGAAAGAGAAGTCTTCAAACTTTGGTTTGGAAAGAGATAAGAAGTGACTTGAGTGGAAAGTATATAAATAAGTTTAGACAACTTAGATTTGGGTTTTTTTTTATCTCATGGTTATGTTTTTTTTTTGTTTCTTTTTATTACAGCTCTCTAGTCTGCAGGCATTTCTTTCCTTTTGTACAGATCTTATTTCTTATCAGACCAGACTTTATTATTATAACTTACAGGCAGATTCATCTCATATTCTATTTTTGCATATTTCTTGTAACTTATAGACAGGTTCACCTACTTCTTGTCTCAAGACTTCAGCTTTGACTTTAGGTTTTTTTTTTTTTTTTTAGTAGTTCTTCTCTCAGTTTTCATTTCACATCTCACAGTCACCACCAAAATGTGAGAAGCAGATTTGGGACTACCAGGTCTTTCATGGTTAAAAGGTAGCATAATACAAAAACACAAAGCAACTCAAAAGAAAAATATAAAAGATTTAATTCAAGAACCAAGGATCTTCCTGCCACTAAGATTCTGGTTTTAAAGTATATCTTTATTAATATTCAATGATCAATAACTTCTCTACTTCACTGTAGAAATTACAGGACTTTTATACAAGAAAGATACAGCAGGAGCTTTGATACAGCTTAACTAAATTGAGTATCAGAGAGGAATCTACAAGCTACAATGATTTATTTACATGACTATAACATAAAGCCGTTATTCAATAAGCTTCGCCTCGAACTAAACCCAATATAGCATTTTATTCAAATGTTACTTTCACATGTGGGATCCTGCGGCTTAGCTTCGACTCGGGACCTTGGTTCGGAACCTTGGTTCAGGTCATTATCATGTTACTCACGTGCCTACAGCTAGGTCACGTTTTGCCCCTCACACTATATGGAAAATTACTTATTAAGAACAAAAAAAACAACAAACAGCTGAGATCACGAAAGATCTCAAAGTCTATTAACTTTAATTAGAACCAATTTGAATAAACCCGTATGTCACATAAAGTTTTAACATTAATAAAAATTAGCAATTCTTTAAAGTAGCGATTCAACCTCTAACCTTAACCTTAACAATAATTATAATTCAAAATTAAAGCTCAAAACTCTTGATTTGCTTAAGTTATCCGTTATATAAATTTTTTTAATATATTAGATATCCGTTATATAAATTTTTTTAATATATTAGATAATAAAAAAAACTTTAATAGGTGATTGGACATATTGGACCTGGACCATGTCCAGGTATATATCCAATGTTCATGTCCAGTCCAATAGTGTTAAAAATAGATGGACATATGTCCAGTGCCAACACTGCCGATAGGTCTGATGAAGGAAACTACCGATAATAAAAAAAAATTATCGGCTTCAGATTCAATGTAATGTAAAGCTAAAATTAAATATTGTATGAGCTTATTAATTTTGTAGAGTTAACTTTTATTAGAACAGTAGAAAAAAGTTTGTCGTCAAATTAAAAAATCACTGTTTTCATATGAACCGATGAATCTTTACAATGATGAAATAATCGTAATAAAGAAGCTTGTCGAAACTGCATTTTTATATTTTTTATTCAATCAAGTTTCGTCAGATGACGTCATTGACGAATCCATTTCGTCATTGCAAAAATTGGTTCTTCAGGCATCATTAACTGGGGCTGAACTTTGTGTACGCTCTTCCTACGTAGTATATTACGGGCACCAAATAAGTAGGGATCTGCAAACTCGGCATGTGCCCATGCATTTCAAGGCATTGGAATAGGCACAAAGCGCCTGGCCTAAAAGTGCCTGGCACTTTTGTGCCTACGGACACTTTGTGCCTACTTAAAAGTATCAAACACTTATAAAAACAGGTGCCGGGCACAAGCCAGGCACAAAATGTCCATGCCACAAAAAATGCCTGGCCCAAAAGTGCCTGGCACTTTAAGCCCATGGGCATAGGCACTGCCCAGTCACTAATGCCGGGCATAGTGCCCAATGTGCCCGGCATGGGCATTTGTAGAACCCTGCAAATAAGTAAAACCGAGCCTGGTTGGGTCCAATTTCTGGATGCTAAAACTAAATCTGGCTCAATTGAACCGGAAGCTGAGCATTAAGCTTCATTGAGTATGACATGAAGGTTTCACTTTGCACCTCAACTCCAGAATGAGCTGATGTCAGTTATTTTTATACAAAATCGCATTAATTTTGTCAAAATATTCTTTATTTTGTCTAATTATTATTATCATTCGTTGAATCTTTCCGGTCATTACTTATTATCATTTTGAGAAATTTCATATCCATTGCTTTCATTAGTAAATTCCTTTGACGGTATTGTAATTTTGCATTCTTTAAGATTTTCACAATTATTATCATTTTCACAACAATTATTATCATTATTCTTTTTAAATAAGTCACCATCACAACAACAACCACCATTGAAATCTTTACTTTTTGCCCAAAGAATCATTCCTAAACCTTCTTTTGCAAAAAATATACTTAAAATTAAAGATGCAACAGAATCTAACCACCAGCCATCTTTCCATACAAAGTAAAGTAAACTACCCAAAAATACAACAAGCGTAGTTTGAATACATGATAGAGAACATTTGGCATCAGAAGCCATTGTAGAAGAGTTAAGTAATTTAGCAATATAAAATTTTACAAGCCAAAGAATCGCCATAATAAATAATGAAATAGTAGTAATTATTAAACCTGCTAAAGTTGAATCGGGTCTTCTATTTTTCACCAAAGCGATGGTTGCATCAGAAAATGTTCCAATAGCAAGTAAAATAAATAATAAACCTATGCCAAATGTTGCTTTTCTTTCATAATGGATTAAGTTAACTGCAGATTTTTCTTTAATAGTTATTTCTCTTAAAAATCTTAATATTACGAAGCATGATGAACTAACTTCAACGAAAGAATTTATACCGAAAAAAATCAAACTAATTGAATCATTTTCTATACCATAATATACCGAAGGGATTCCTTCAATTATATTCCAAAAAAAAGTAAAAATTGAAACGATTATTGCAACTTTAATAAGTTTTTTACGAGAAATTGATTTAAGTTTCGTTGATAATTCCATTGGTTTTTTTTTTTTTTTTAAATAAAAGAAAGTGGAATCAATTTTTTATCCCAACGATAACGATAAGTGAAATTAGCCCCGTTTTGGATGTTGTTTAACATTCCACGACTCTGCTGATTTACTGTATATAGGGGTCGGCTAAAGCGGAGCGAGATTTAGTTAGGGTTAGGGTTACTTTTTTGATGCATTTTGATTATTATTTATATA